AGGTAAAAATTTGGGGCTGCATAACAGGAAAGAAAAGGAACTATTTGTGCCATTATCATCATCAGAGATTGCACAACCATGTGAGTGACAAGAGAAAGGCAAAAAAAATCTCTGCATTGACTTCTAGTTTCTCTCAGTATCTCATTTTCTCTTCAACATGCGAACTTGGAACAATCTCTAAACAATTTTCAACTTTATCGTCTAGCACTTTGTTGTTAAAATGAATAATTCATAATTTATTTTTAGTAAGCGTCAACTTTGAAGATTTAGAAGCAACTAGCTTAGACAAATGACAGTAAAGGTCAACAATTATGCTCACACAGCTAAAAAAAGATAGAGCAGATAAGGTGCATCTGTGAAAACATACTCATTAGCAGACTGGTGGATGAAATTATTAAGCTGCTGAAATGCAGTTCCTGTAATTATGCTCCCAAGAAACACATTAATAAACTGGAAGAAATAATATCTAGTTGCAGATCTCCTTTCCAAAGCTGATTGACTAATGAAGCCTTCAAACTTAGACATTAGCATTAATATTGTAGGTAGAAATATAAGAAAAATCTTCAACGCAATCCCAGGAAGGAAACCTTGAATCAATGATTTTATGAATTTCCTGCATGAAAAAAATTGAGGCTGTTAATTTGTGGAGTCAGAAGACTGATTAAGAATTAAAAAAAGGCAAAATTCAAAATAGTTGCAAGTAGACTCATGTAACAAATATCAAAGAGTACAAGGAAGAAAATAGATAATGAAATGCAATGTTTCTATGATTACAGAAAGAAGAAAAAGAAACTTACACTTCAATTATAGGTTTTAGAAAGGGTAGTGCTTTCTCAATAGCCTCTATGTTTGCAAGGGATTGTACAAATACAATAGGGATCATGAAAAAGAAGGTAAGGAAGAAAAATGCAACTGCAATAATAAGTCTCCTGATTGTGAGTGAGACATATGGAATTGCCAGATTTTCCCAGCAAACATCACGTGGCTCTGGAGCCCACTCAGTTAACCATGTAGTTGGGTTTCTGGATAGTTGAGTTTGTGCACAAACAGCAGCTCCCCATCGAGTTTGGAAGGATACAAAAGCTGCTGGCATGATGGATCTAGCATTGCCCATAATTTTCTCTCTTTCCTGGGATATCTGACATTCATATAAGGGAAAACACTAATTAAAATAAATTTAAGAATTGTAGAGAAGCATAACCCGACAATATTAGAAGAAGGATAGAAGTTTAATGGGTGCTACTTACATCTCTTGATAATCTCTCAATTTTGGATGTATAAAAATCAATTGCATCAACTCTGCTTCCACAAAGGCCAAGAAAACCAGTCTGCTTGACATCCAAGAAAAGTATTATATTACCTTATCAAGTAGTTGACATGGAAGGTGAAAAAATTTTCTAAAAGCACCTTGATTGAGGGTTTGTGATCTGGATGTCTTGAATATTTATTTTGATAGTAGTCAAGCCAATTCTGGGTTTTATTTTTCTCATTAACTAATTCAGAAAGTCGGTTTGCGTTATAGACAACCTGCATACAAAAAGATATAATAATCCAGCATTGAAGGATGAATTCAAGAGAAGTATCACTCTCAACTCAATTCTTATACAAGTGATGAAATTAATTTAATAACAGAAGTAATCCTGCAGCAGCACCACCATAACTGGATTTCCTCGCTTCCATGTTTGTCTATGTTAATGTAATAGTCACAAACCTGATGGCTAAGATAGTGATCAGGATGATTGACCAGAAAAAAATGTTCCAAGAGCTCACTAATTGATTCGTCTGGATCTGGTGGGACATTTCTGACCAGTACCTTCACCAAGATAAATGGCATCAGAAAAAACCATTTGTATACCAAAGAAATATATGATAAAAGTTCAGCAACTTAGAGCCAGCACTAAACATATAAACCAAAATAAAAAGAATCAGTGACAAATATGAATATCAGCTCAAAAGGACAAAGATATGTTTTTAGCTATATGAACCTTATATAGATATATGTATGTATGTATGTATGTATGTATGTATCTTTAATAAATGGATCTTTACTCAAAACACATCAATCCTTAAAAGTATTCTCCAATCAGAACAAAAAAAAACTGGTTTCACTAACAGAAATGCAGAAATCACATAGATCAACTAGAGTTCATAAGTAGAATGCCAAACCAATTTTCACTTTTGCTTTCACTAGGGTGTCAAAAAGGCACAAAATTTATTCCAAATTGTGATAAAATAAAGGTTTTAGCTTATTATCAGGCTATAGAGCTATTTTGTAAGGCTCCTTACTTCATGTATGCTTGGGCAGAGTGGCCATTGCTCGATAAAACCATAAAAACAAGGTGAATTGGAGAGTGTTTAACATAATAGAAATGATTATTCCTTAGTTGCATTATTTTTCTTCTAACAAGATGAAGCAAAGTGGGAATACTAACAATACCTCCCCTAGGTTTTAGCTATTCCCTCTTAACTCTCACTTAGTAGAAGAAAATTGGTAAAAGCAAGGAACAACCATAGCTTGTATATTATGGAAGATTATATGCAGTTCATTTCTCTTTACTAATCAAGCTTATTGCAACAACTCAAAATAATCAATCCCTTAAGATCCCATTTTATTTTCATCAAAATATGATAAAATTTGAACTCCAAGTTGAATCTCATTTTCAGTTAAGGTCACACACTCATGGTTGATTGAGCTTACTGTGAATTGGTCTGGATGTCTTTGTTCTGATGCAAGAAAATGCAACCGCAATGCTGCCACTATCTCAAATTCTCTTTTCAACACATAGCAAGTCCAAAAGGTAAAGGCATAAGCCATCACTAAATGTGTCCAAAATCTGCAACCAATGGGTGCATTAAAAATTAATTATCAATTGGGTTTCAGATAGTAGCATTGAAGCAAATAAGTACAATATTATGTTAAAACTTGTCTAGCAATCAAAGAACCTCATATAAGTTATATATGGAGGAATAGGGCACACGATTTACATTTTAAGTTGACCATTTAGGAAATTAGAAATCATAACTATGAAAGTTATAATCCAATCAGCAGAAATTAGATATTAATTGATTACATTAACAAAGTTATCAATAAAAATAGGGTACAAAGAAGGACAAGAAAAAAAGAGCTATACTGCAGAAAAGTATAAATGAGAGAAAGTTTTGCATACCTATGTGATGCAGATGGAATATTTGATATAGAAAGCTTATCCACATCACTGTAAGTTAAATTAGAATGCTCTAAGGTCTTGTTTGTCCAATTAACGGGCACCATGATGGAAAATGCTAACAAAGTAATAGGGACAAATATCTTAAGCCTGCACCTCAATAGAGGACAAAGCAAAGAAAAGAAGAAAAAAAAATTGAAATCAATCGAATAGAATATAAGTAATCAATTTCAGATTCAGGAGACACATAAAGACCAATAAATAAAATATATGCTTGCGATACAAAGCAGTATTCTCTCTATGGGGTGGAGAGAAGAGTATTGACTGGTCTGGAGCGGTCACCTTTACAATCGAACATACCCTATCAAGTAAATCCTCAAGTAAACAGCAGAATCCAACCCAGCATGATCAATCAGCTCAGGTTCTGGCATTTGGAGTGCCGCAGGCATCCAAGTCAGAAACCTCACGTATGACCTGAAGTCCAAATTTACAAACTTGCTTACAGAAGCCCCACTTCGCAATGGACTGCTCCTCAAACCTTTGAGATACCATTTTGGAAAGTAAACCCTATCATTTACAGGCTGAATTCTAAGAACAGCAAATGCCAGGAAGAAAGCAAATGCGGTAAGGATATTAATGGCTGCTGCAACTCCAATATCGTTCAGAGTAGCCATATATGTAATTCAAACAGGAAAACTTTGTGCCTTCCTGAAATTACAAAAACAGCCTAAACTTCAGCAAGATGAATAAACTGACGTCAAGCTCAAAGTGTTGGGTACAGAGATGGCCAAATTCCCACCATAACCATTTTGGTGCAGAGAACATGTTCTCCTTTAAAAATAAAAATAAAAATAAAAATATTAAACTGAGACATGATTGCAGACATGGATTAATAGAGGTTTGACCTTGTGATCAACCAACCTTTTCTGTACTAAATCTTTCAAGAACTTAACTGCATTAATTGGGTCTCTAGAAACAGGCATCATAATCCAATCAAAGTTCAAAGAAATTTTAGAAAATGTCAAATTTCGTTCGTAAATCATGATCCTATTGACTATTGTCAACTGAAATCAAATGAAACTCGGAAAATAGAGTGGAAAAAACCCATTATTGAGTTCAGCTGAGCATTTTGAAACATACACAGTGACTAAACAGGATCAGTGCATCAGACCTTGGAAATTTTGTTTCCTTTACCTCTGACAATCCTATGAAACCAAAAAAAGGGAGAAAGCAGAGAGATCCACACTGTTACCTTGAGCAAAGCAGAAAAGGCAGGATTGAAGCACAATGCCAGTTCAACTCACTGAGAGAAAAAGACAGTGAAAACAGTTCTGTTGTGTCCTGTGCAGACTTATAAGTTACCTTAGATGGAACAAAATCCTGTAGATGTTTTTTCTTACTCGGGTAAACTAAGAATCATGCCAGATTGCTCCTTCCTTATTTGCCTTCTGTTTTTTAATTAACAAAAATGTCTTTAAGACAGATGCACACATCTGCTTCCGCTGGTAGTGAGGAACGAGAGAGGAAAAAGTTGTTCATTCAAAAAAAATGAAAAAGAAAAAGAAAGGGGGAAGGAAACTGAAGTAACGTAATTAAATTTTTGATTCAATTTAATTTAATTTAAGCTACTAACGGCAAGGCTGAGAAGGTACAGATTAAATATTTTTTCATGCTAAATATTATCTTTTAAAATATTAATTTTACTTAATTTAGTAATTAAAAAAATTAATAATTATAACAGTTAGTTGAATAATAATAAAAATAATTAATATTTATTACCTAAAAAATTAAAATTGTTTTATAAACTAATATTTTAAATATTATAATTAACTATTTATGAAAAAAATTATAATTTATGCAATCTTAATAATATAGTAAATGTTCATAATCACACTCTTGTACTTAACTTGAAAATTTATCATTTTAAGGGTTTGATACTCAATACCTACTCAAGTATTAAAAATTTATGCATGTTATTCACTCCATTAGATACAAGTACATTGCATGTATGTATATTTTATAAGTATATCTTATAAATATGTGTAAATATATTTTAACTTACATAGAAAAATCTACTTATTATAAATACTACCTCTTAGACACATTACTTATATAGAATATTGATTATTTATTTTTTTTACTATAAATAATTGAAATTTATCATAATTTTTTTAAATGAAAAAAATTATCTTTAAAATATATGATAAAAAGTAGCTATTTATACCCATTTCTCAATGGAAAAGACGGTGTCCTGTACTCCATTTGTATCATTGAGTGGCAATTATTTTGCCACATCACCTAGATTTTGGAAATAACAACCATTAATGTTAGGAAAATGAATTATTAAGATTTTGTATAAGTGATGTATACAAAAGGAATGTGTGAATCCTAACACAGACTCTTTATATATATAGAAAAAGAGAAGAGATCTATTTATACACAAATCTTATATATTATATTTATATAAAATCTCAATAATTCATCTTTCTATTTTCAATGGTTGAAACTTATTCACATTTATTAAAATAATTATTTTTTACCTATAAAGTTATAATAAATTTCAATCATTAAAAGCGAATAGATGAATAGTTAAAATTTTATGTAAGTATGGTATGTAATATTTTTGTATAAATAGATCCCTCCTTATATATATAGTAAGATATGTCTAAAAGCCCACAATCAAATTAATATTTTCAAAAACCAACTATTAAACTGAAAATTTTATTTATATAGATAATGTACATCAATTGCCATATTGGTCTAACATTTATAACCCTTTAATTTAAAAAAAAAAAAACTTTATTTATGAACATTATATTTAATGATGTTAAATTTTGTGTAACCAATAAACTATTTACACATCTTAGATTAATATAGAAATTGACGTACATAATTTATATGAATAAAACTTTTAATTCAATAATTGGTTTTTGAAAATATTAAGTAAAAGATGAGGTTTTTTTTTTTAATAGGTCCTCCAAAAAAAAATTTAGGAAGTTAGCCTTTTACAATACTTACATATATATATAGTAGGAATCCATTTACATACAAATTGTACACACCACACTTATACAAAATGTAATATCCCAAATTTTCGAGGATTTTATCATTTAAGTTAGGGACTTATTTTGGGAAAAATATTATTTAGGGCTTAATAGTGAAAATTTTTGAAACTTGAGGGACTTAAAAGATGAAACTTTGGATAAGGACCAGCTAATATTTTTTCTGCTTTTCCTCTTTCTTCTCAACCATTTACGTGTTTTGCTCTTCTTTTTCATCCCCGGCAGCTCCCGAAAAGAACACCAAAGCCACCGACCCACACCACCCTTTGAAAAACCGGTTAGAAAACTTGGTTTTTGCCTTTCTTTTCTTGTTCAAGAACCAGATTTGGAGCTTAGAAATCTTCCCCCCTGCAGGAATTTTCGGATCTGCTCTGCTCTGTTCCTTACCGTCGGTTGCTCTTGCTTATGGGTGCGAATTTCTCTGATTTTTGGGTAAGAAACAGCCACTAATTCCTTTGTTCTTCCTTGAATTGGCTTGGGTTTACTCTAAATTCCTCTTGGTTTCTCCAATTTTTGGGTAGATTCCCGAATTTCCCCTGCATTGCCGCCGGCCTTCCCTTAGCTTGCAGCTCCGGTTTGCTTGCTGGAATTCTGGTAAGTGGCAGCTCCATTTAAGTCCCAAATTACCCATTAGTTGCTGGAAATTTGTCTGTTAAATTGCTGCCCTATGCTGTCCGAAAATCTGTTGAAAAATGGGGATGCATTTGACAGTATTTAGACCATGATTTAGCTTAATTCATGTAGAAAATTAGTTAATTAGTTGCTGTTGTGATTTTGGAGAAAAAATCCCGTGAATTAGCTATTGTTTTGCCAATTTATGGGAGTGCAGTACTGTTTACGACGTGATAACTGTTCACGGATACTGTTCACGCACTGATGGCCAACAATTAACGGGGATTAAATGTTTAGTTTATAATATAAGAACAAATTTACCAACGAGGGTTGAATCAAGTGGCAAGCGGCTTGTTCCAGCTTAATCATCTCGAGTTTGAAACTTTGTGTACGCAGCAGCCTTCGTTGGGAGATCCACCCACCATTTTGGTGTGCCACAACTGGTCGAGTTTGGAGTAGTCGGGGCGAAGCCCCGGATACCGGGCGGGAAACAAAAAAAAAAATAATAATATAAGAACAAATTTAAAAATGTTCGGTCATATGGAGACTAATAAAAATAGTATCGTGATTAGAGGTGATCCTAATGAAGATTTCACTTGAATTTGTGGTAGTGCGATATTAATTTTGGAATATTTTGATTAGGTTCTTGATCATTGGTTGCCTTAGCACTTGGATTGAGTCCTCGATTTATGCAATTGAGGTAAGTAAATTATGATAACGCTTTTCGATTTTAAAAGTATATTTTAACTTGTTTTTGAAGTGGTGGCGGGACTAAACCCGTTTTATACAAAAATGAGCATGATTGATTTGAAATAAGATTATTATTCTTTTTATTGATTTGAGCTTGCCTGCTTAGAGTTTATTTAACTGCCTTGATGATTTAGAAATTATCTATAAAGTATGATTTTTTGTTAAATTCTGCTTGTTTTGTCTCCGATATGATCATGTTATTCGTGTACCCGCTAGTGGGAGGTTTATAAATGCTAACACATGTCAACATGTTACGGATAGAACCGGTTCGTTTTTGTTATCGTGCTAGTGGGATTATATACTAGTAAATTGTGTGCTTGTCAATGGGAGGTTTATAACACTGGCCATGACCTATAGAAGAGATATCTATTTTGTTTCCGTACTCGTACTTGTTTTTCGTGATTATACTTGTTGACATGCTATAAGTTTAATTAAGGGCCATTTATATTTACTTATTGAGTTATCTCATAGTTTTTCCTTGTCCACCATTTCAGGAAACGAAGTCAAAGGCGGGAAAAAACGAGATGAGTGATGAGCTAAAAGGCTAGCCATCTTGTAAATTGAGCATAGATTTCGATATAAATCATGATATTGTAAACTAGACTTTATTGGAGATTTATGATATTAGAGCAAATTATAAAATTTGATCTTCAGATTTTGATGGTATCAGATTGTGTCATGATAAGTTTTGAGCCTTGTGTATTTATGGGACCCTTTCACAAGTGTACTACATCTGCCACGTCCTTGGATTCGGGTTTTGAGGCGTGTTATAAAATCTCAATCATTCATCTTTTCATTTTTAATGGTAAAGATTTACATTTATTGAAAATAATTATCTTTTTATTTAAAAATTCATAATAAATTTCAACCATTGAAAGTGACAAGATGAAAGGTTAAGATTTTTTTGTATAAGTGTAATGTGTAAGACTTTTGTGTAAATAAATTACTTTTCATATATATATATATGACATTTATTCATATTTATTAAAGATAATTATCTTTTCACTTAAAAAGTTGTAACAAATTTCAACAGTTCAAAGTAAAGAACTAAATGATTAAGGTTTTGTGTAAGTATAATACGTAAGATTTGTGTATGAATAAATTTTCATATATATATAAGGTATATACAAGGTGTACATGTCAAAATACTTAATTTGATTCAAGCTGTTTCAAAAAAAATTTTAATTTTTTTTACTTTTTTATACATTTTATCTTTTTTGAATAGCATATATTTAATTAAATTCAAACTTTTTAAATTGCTTCTAAAGTGATTTATAAGTTGTTTTTATGGGATTATATCTTGAAAATAGAGTCATATCAGTATAGTATATAGTAGTAAAATTAGCGAGAAATGCTAAAAAATAAACTTTGAATTTGACCAATCAAACTAGCAAATTGAATTGATTGAACCTAACCCGGTGTGAAAATTAGGTCAATCACTAGGTTTGATTTTAAATTATTGGTATACAAGTATAGACTCACATACTATATCCAATATTTTACTCAATACTTGAGAAGTATGTGTATATTTCATACCTAGTAATCAACTATCTCTCTTAATACAAGTAAACTACTTGTTGAACAAGTCAAGTATCCATATATATCAAGTGATAAAACAATTTATTAACCTGCTTTAGCTATTCTTTGGAACAACTTAGATAAAAAGTTGTCATTAATTTAACAATTCTTCAAGACAAAGTTTATAAAAGGATAAATTCAAGTCATTAATGGTAATCGGTCTATAGACTTGTATATTAAAATCACACTTTTTCATTAAAGTAAAATTCAAGATGTTATAATCTTTCCTACTTAAACATTTAATGTCACGCCTCAGAACCTAAATCCGACGACGTGACAGACGCCGTGCACTCGTAAGACAGGTCCCACAAGTACACAAAACTCAGAACTTATTCAAATCACATCTCAAGAATAAAATCTACCTTACAAAGGATGATAAAATCTAAAACTTATATCCAATTAGAATGGCTAGCCTTCTACCTCGTCACTCCCCTTGGTTTCCCCATCCTCGATTTCACTTCCTGAAATGGTGGATAAGGAAAACTATGAGATAAAATATCTAAGTAAGTAAAAATATGGATAACCCTTAGTAAAAATTTTAGCATGCTAGATAAACAGCTTAACATAACAAAACTTTCAATGATAAACCATCCATGCATAATAAAACTCATCAGTAGTCTCATCTATAAGTCATGACCAGTGTTTAACAAACTCCCAGTAGCAGGCGTCAGTAATGGTACCAATGTTTAACAAACTCCCACTGGTAGGCATCAGTAATAGTCAGTAATAGTACCAGTGTTTAACAAACTCCCACTGACAAGCGTCAGTAATAACCAATGTTTAACTCCATTGGCAAGGTTACAGAAGTACTAGTGTTTAACAAACTCCCACTGGCAGACGTCAGTAATGGTACCAGTGTTTAACAACTCCCACTAGCAGGCGTCAGTAATGACCAATGTTTAATCCCATTGACAGGGTGAATCAGTTCTATAGAAATACATGTCGACATGTGCTAGCGTTTGCAGCTCCCACTGGTGGGTGTCAGTAATCATGACTATATCAGAGACAAAACCATGCAGAATTTACAGAAAATCCGAAATTCACAATCAATCTCAAATTTCAGAAATAAACTGAAAAATTTCAATGTGAACATGGATTTATCAAAAAAATCAAAATTTACAAAATTCTCAAATCATCAAGGTAGTTTAGTCAATTCCAAATAGGCATGCTCTATTCAATGCAAATGAAAACAATTTCATGTGAGCATGCTCAACTCCAGAAAAACAATAAAATTCTTATTTTCATTCCAACCATGCTCAATTCCAAAAAATCATAATTTTCATAAAAATCATCACAATTTTCATTTCAGTTTAATCACACACAGATGTTGATAAAATCAATTTAAACCTTGCCACCATCTCAAAAACAGTTTAAAACATGCTTTAAAATTGAAGGGCTTTACCATAAATTTACTTACCTTACTCGCATCAAACCGAAGACTCGATTTAAGTGCTAACTTATAGAATGATTAGGAACCTAATCAAAATATCCAAGAATTAATACTGCACTACCACAATTTCAAGTGAAATCATCATTAGTACTATCCCTAATCACGATGCTATTTCTATCAATCTCCATATGACTAGACATCTCCAAATTTGTTCTTATATTACAAACTAAACATTTAAATCCTCGTTAATCGTTGGACATCAGTGCATGGACAGTGCCCATGAACAGTACCCCGTGAACATTAACTTCAACTTCCAAAATTGGCAAAACAATAACTAATCTCACAGGATTTTTCTCCAAAATCACAACAACCCAATTCAAGCTAATTTACACTTAAACCAAGCTTAAAAACATAGCTTAAGCTACCAAAATTTTCCCATTTCTCACGGGCAACACATGGAGAGCATGGCTTTGGCAAACCACAACTCACACACACGGGATTTTCTCTCCAAAACATCATAGCAGCCTAATTAACAAAATTCCTACATAACCCAAGCACAAAAACACATTTAAAATGCTGCTAAATTCTTCCCTCTTTCAGCAGAAAATCCGAACAGTACATGGACAAATCAAAGCAGGAAATTCGAAGATTTAGGGCAGTAATTAATTGCTAATTTCGAACTTAAAGAAGTGGCCATCATACCAGAAATTTCCGGCAACAGCAGAACCGGAGTTGATGGGTGAGGAAACCGGTGGGTTTTTGGAGAAGAACTACCGGCAATTGAAGGAAACAAAGGAAATTAAAGTGAACCCCAGCCAATTTAAGGATGAAAAGAGGAATTCATGGCTGTTTCCTTACCCGAAAAAGTCCAGAAATCGCACCCCACACAGCAGAAACTCGCGGACAGCAGGGGAGGAAGACGCAGAGCAACGCAGATCTGGAAAATTCTGGGTTTAGGAGAGTGTTCTACATCCTAAAATCAGTTCTTTAACAAGAAAATAAGAGAAAAATAGCGAGCTTTTGCCAAGTTTCTCAAGGGGAACTATCGGCAGCTCGGGGGGCTTGTCGGGGAAGAAGAAGAGAAGCAGAAACACGCGGCTGATGAGGAAGAAAAGAAAGAAAGAAAAAGACAAAAAGAAAAGAAGCTGATCCTTATCTCATTCCCTTTCTTTTTAGTTCCTCAGCTTTTGAAATTGGACTATTAAGCCTCAAAACAATATTTTCCCTCAAATAAGTCCCTTACTTAATGCTAAAATATCACCAAATTTTGAGATATTACATTTAATATCCTCGTCACATCTAATCACAATCAGAATAAAACCTAGGAAAGCTGGTTAATAACCATTCCCACCACTGCCTGGTCGATTAGGCTTACTAGGAATGCAATTATATTTAGGAACTCCATATGGGATGTCAACAGGAATTTTGAGATAGTTGAAGCAAAGTCGTACTGCTGGCTCAAATGGAATCTAGAAGGCTCTAGCCACCAGCTTTAGTGATTGATGCCTATTTACTTAACAGTTATTTCTGTCATTTTTTCCCGTGGTTTTCCTCTTTGAGATTATACAATATCATAATCATGGAGTTTTTGTAAATTTTTAAGGGTTGGAATACCTTTCTACTTCCATTAATTCATTTTGCTTTTATATATATATAACAATCAAAATAAAGTCTATTAGGTCAAAGTCACTGAGTGGTGACCATTCATATATCAATTGAAATGATTTAGGTCATAATCTGAGTCAAAATCACTATTTTTCTAATAATTTTTTAAGCAAAAATTTATAAACTCTCAAAAACTTAAATTTATTTTGTTAGTAGTAATTGGTCTCTACTTACATATATATATATATATATATATTAGACTCATTCATATTTTTC